GGGCAAATTAATTAGCTTGTATGGGTTTATTTTCTGCATCTATAAAATATGTTATAATTCTCTTACCTAAGTTCCTTAGTTTAGTGTATACATACCCCGGAGCCCTAGAATGATGGGAAGCACGAGTCAGTGTGATGTGACTTGCTCATGGTCCTGTCACACAGGTGGTTAATGGTCCAGCCCAGAGTGAATTCATCTCTCTCTTTTTTTTTTTTATAGAGGTGTGTTTTCTTTCTTTCTTTATTTGTTTGTTTGTTTTGTTTATACATGCACTGGGTACAGTCAGAAGCGCGGGAGGGTGAGAGAATTCATCAGAGCCAGAGCGGGGAGCAGAACAGGCAGAAGGACCGAAGTACACTGCTGAGGGGAGCAGCGGGCGGCAGGAGAGGTCTGCGCGCCATGCGGGACCCTCCTCCGGTGGCTGGGAAGCAGCCGGGGATCGAACCGGCGCCGCAGAGGCCGCGGGCAGCTTCGCAACCCAGCGCTCAACCACTGCGCCACCGGGGAGGCCCAATTCATCTCTTGATATCCATGTCTTTGCACTAATCCTTGCTGACTATGTAGGTATTCATTGAAATTTTCTTAGCATAGGTGGTGATGATTTCTAGTTTATTGGATATCATAGTTAGCTGAAAATTTATTTATATTTTCCCCATATATCTTTTCAAGGACATTTATTTGTGTAACTTTGTGATTAACTTACTCAGATCCAGTTGAGAGTGAGAATAAATAGCATAAAACAAAGGCAAAGTAGTATCATCTGGCAAAGTTCCTGAAGGGAAAAAAAAAAGACAGTTTCAGGTAGCACATACATAAATGCACATACATATTGATGAGTTGATGATATATAGTTACTTGTTTTGGACTTTTAATCAGGACTCTTGGTTGCAAATAACAGAGACCCAACTTGTACTAGCTTAGAAAATAGAAAGGAATGTACTGACTCATTACATAAGAAAAGAGATTGAATAAATAAGCCACAGAATAACAGAAATGCAGCTGTTTTCAGCAACAACTTACGTTAGACATTCAGACCCTGCCAAGCCTTTGTGGTGGTGTCTTGGAACCCCATGTGCTTTGCAATACTCTATTGTCACTCATTGCGCACTGGCTTCTCCCACAATCTCCAGCTTCTAGAGGGTGATGGCTATTTTTCATAGTTGGAAAATTTCAAGAAAAGATTGATGGCTGGGGCACTTGTCCCTGAAATGGTCAATTGTGGTAGGTAGGGAGGGCTTGGACATACTTGAAGATGGTATTTCCCAAGCCATCCAAGGTTTCAGTGAGGGGAGGGTTAATTATTTCCCAGAGTCTCCTCTCCCTCAACTTCTTTTTTTTTCCTTCATTCCTTTTGTTCATCTCTGTCCCACTTTACCATCACTCCCTAGGCTTTAGGTGCCAAGCTCATTAAAGTTGTGGCCTCTTGACTTTACATCAACAAGTCAGGTTTTGCTTTGACCTGACCTTTTACAGAGTGGATTACCGGCGGGACAAAGAATTGATTCTCTTGTTCAATTGAGTAGCCTCTTATAAATTGGATATTTATGATAAAAAAATTCTCCCCATTAAGTATGAAGGTTAAGGAGGGAGAGAAACTAGAACCCTTGATCTACCATAGTCATGGGAACTCGTCAGCAGGACAGTGATGCATCTATACTGCTCGTTCTAGCTGAAACATTCTCATAGGCAACATCCTTTACGAGCCAGCTGCCCTTTGGATAACCTTTGTCAGAGCTGGCTTATTGGTGGACAACAACCTGTGCCTCAGGTGTGTTTATAGAGCAGGGTGCCAGGAACAAGAATGGGCAGGAAGAAAGTGACGGGGATTTACAAAATTTCCCACTCATTACAGATTCTACCATCGCCTCCTCTTTTGTTTTAATTTTTAATTTATTGAGTTGCAAGTTGTTTTTTGGAGAGCTATGTTCTACTCGTGTCACAACAAGTAGCATCCTAAATGGGTAGACTTAGAAGAATAAGTATAGGAAAATTGCTCCTAAGAGTGCTAATAACCTCCTGTTTTTCTCATACTGAGCTAGCTCAGGATACTGCACAAGCCAACAAGGGCACTTCTTCAGCCCCCCAAATTAAAATCTAAAGCAAGATATATTTACCTACAGATGGTGAAACTTATTTAATATCAGTCATGTAAGGGAAACATGTATATTTGTAACAAATTTGAGTCATAAATGAAGGGACAGTCATATCATGTGCCTATTCATGTACTATACAAATTTGCAAATGTTTATTTAGTTTATGATAAAAAAAATATGAATGTGCTGCTTGTATTAGTATCTTGAACCAGCACAAATGTATTCTTTCTTTCACAGCTCTAGGGCCAGAAATCCAAAATCAAAGTGTTGGCAGGGACATTTTCCCTCCAGGGCCCTAGGGGAGAATCCTTCTTTGGTTTTTCCAGTTCTTAGTGGTTTCTGGCTTGCTTTCGCTATTGGCAGCTGGGTTCCAATCTCTGCCTCTGTCTTCATAGGTCTGTCTTTGCTCTTGTTTATCTGAGCCTGAATCTTTCTCTTTTATAAAGTATACTTGTCATGAAATTTAAGGACCCACCCTAAGCCTCTTCAGAGCTAATTACATCTGCAAAGACCCTATTTAAAATCAGGAACCACATGCCGAGGTGCCAGGAGGTCATGAATTTTGGAGGGACACTTCAACCCAGCACCAGGGAATTAAGCAAAATATATTTCTGCCAGTAAGTGTTATTATTTAAGTACTTGGTATTTGAAAGTTGCAAAATCATGGGAACTCTTAAGTCTGCCAATGCTCAGTGGCTTTAATGAGAAGTCCTTTTGACTGAATCTGTTTTCACAGTGGTTGTTGGTGAAAGGAGACCAGCAGGCAAGCAAAGTTTTTTCAAGGACCCCCTACCTTCAATGACAGGAAGAAACAACACAGATTCCTCTAAGGTTCCTCTACTTCCTGTTCTGAAATAGTTACTTTGTTCTAGGTCTAAGGATTCTTGAGAAAACTTAGAAGTTTTTTCTTATTGCATTTTATCCTTACTAGAATAAGATGACACCAAATATACTTCATTACTTTTATTAAAAAATGTAACTTTTATGCTTTTTTTTAATTCAATATGTAAAAGAGGCTGGTGACATTTAAGATTTTTCAACCATATTGGGTCCTTTACATCAAATTTTCACCCCCAATTCTGCCCCCATCAGCTTTAGAATAGCTAGAGATTCCCCCCACCCCATTGTCTGTTACAGAAATAATTGAGTCATTTACTGAGAGCTGATTGGGGATGTGCATAAATTCTTAAAGGATTGATGGGAGCCATTCCCTGGAATTTGTATCCTGCACTGAACAGGTTATGCCCATCCATAGTCAAGGAACAGGGTGTAGAGCAAAATGAAGATTGATGTTTGGGGCAAGGTGAATGGTTGTGAAAATAACTTCAGACACAAGTGGAGGATCAGAGAAAGCAGATTACCAGATTGAGTCACAGTTTGTGAGCAACCGAGTCAGTTGTGAGTGACTAGTGAGTAAGTAGTTCTAATGACCTCAGTGACTGGAAAGTTATGAGAGAATTAAAAGCAGCAAAGGGTCAGAAAGAGAGCCTTAGAGGGAGCTCAGTCCTGGATAGTGGTAAGTAGAGGAGTGGCCATGGGGGGCTTCCAGGATGTTTCTCTTACTACTTCTACCTCCTTCCTTTGTTTCGTACAACACTTTATTTTAGCTCTCACAATTTCTACTCTGTGCAGTTTCTTTTTCCTGTCTCTCTAACTTTTGTACATATTTAATTTCTCTATTTTCTGGTATTTCTCCTTTCCCCATCTTTATAGTTTCCTTTTCTTTTTTAATCAAAGAGCAAGAATACCTAATCGAAAAGTACATATTAGATAAGGGAAAGCTTATGTAAGTATTAATATTTAATGGTGACTGCTTCTATTGGTGTATATTCTTCAAAGAATTTCAAGAAGCAAGGGTTTCAAATACATTACCTGCATTTGAGCAGTTAGGGCTAAAAGCATGAGGGTTGATTAATTCTAAGATAAACTATTGAAATTTTAGGGATACACTTCTTTTTTCCATGAATGGAAAGTCAAAGAATCCTCTGGTAGCTTCACCTACAGCCCAGCCAGGCTAAGAATGGGACTCATATTTCTTTTGGATGTAAGGCTCTCTGGGATGTTAAGATACGCCCAGCTCTTTCTGAGTCTGATTCTTAGGTTTTGGGCTAGCATTATGAAGGAAACTGCCAGAGGGAAGAAGCTTCCTCTCATGGATTTTGATTTCAATGTCAGCCCACCACCATTCCATTCTACTTCATGTTTCTAGTTTCCCGCTCCTAACTTGAGTGGTGTCTTAGGAGCACATGACTATGATAGTCTTTTTATCTCCAAATTTCTAATAGTAAAATTCTTATTGCTAAATTAAAAGTATCTATTATTGAGCCCTATTTTGTGCCCACTTCTATGCTCAGCACCATATTTGTGATATATATATAATTTGTATATTATGTGTGTACACATATGTACACATATACATGAAGATGAGTGAGACATTGTCTAGCACCTCCAGTGTGGATGGGTAAAGATCACATTTGGAGGTGAAGGAGGACACTGAAGCAGTTTATGGCTATAATCCTGATTTTTTTTTTCTATGTGAAAAAAACTTAGAAGGAAGGTGAGCAAGGGCAAGGTTAAGTCTGGAAGAGCACAAGCAAGTCTTGAAACAGCTGCTAATCTGAATAGTAGGGGATACAAAGGTGATTTAATACAAACAAGTTAGTAAAGACTTCTGACACTTGGAGAAAGTGGTAATCTCATCTTTGTTGTTGCCATTGTTTCCATCAATATCATCATCATCGTTGTCATCATCATCTCCAAAACAACTTCAACCATAAAAGCTTTGCATAATTGAGAAGACTATTTTTTTTTTAAATACTGACAGTCATTTATGCTATTTTGGTGCTTAGTGCAGGGTGTTGCTGGTATTCTGTTATCACACTCTCCCTCTCATCTGTACGTGTTTAGGTTGAGCCAGTGATACAGAGTGGCCACGAGAGTCTTGTCCACCACATCCTGCTCTATCAGTGCAGCAGCAGCTTTAACGACAGCGTCCTGGACTACGGCCATGAGTGCTATCACCCTAATATGCCGGATGCGTTCCTCACATGCGAGACCGTTATTTTTGCCTGGGCCATCGGTGGAGAGGTATGCCTGCTGATTACTGAGATTATTACTGTCAGAATCAGTTGATCATACTTTTCCCTATGATTCTGATACTATGAAATTTATACTATAAAGCTCTATGTGCTATTTTTAATATGAGTGTTGCTTAGTTTTGTTTCCATAGAAGTAACACTCTCTTTAATCCACCTGACTCTATCGATTTTAGATGAATGGAGTTCCAAAGATCTTTTGAGCATGGTTGGTTTTGAGTGATGTAGAGTTCTCAGGGACGTTCACAGGCCATCATTTCATGGAGTTTTCTTTATTTAGGGTTTTTCCTATCCACCTCATGTTGGATTATCTCTTGGCACTCCATTAGACCCTCATTATGTGCTCCTGGAAGTCCATTATGACAATCCAACCAATATGGAAGGTGAGTTTATTTTTCATATCATCTACTTGTGACTTTACAGCAAGGAGAGTGTCTTATCCATCCTTTATCTCCACAATGACTAGTACAGTATTATTCATATAATAGATACTTAATAATTGTTTATTTTTTGAGTGGCTATTTTTTGACTGATTAAAAGGATTGTGACTCCAAAATAATTTAACATTTAGTAGTTTTCTCCATCAGCAAATGATTTTTAGACCAAGGAGTTGTTTTTTTGTTTTTTAAATTAATTTTTATTTATTTATGTATACAAGAACTGGGGTATAGGCCAGAGGTGCACAGGTGAGAGGATTCACAAGAGACAGAGTGGGTAGCAGAACAGGTGAATATACTGAAATACACTGCTGAGGGAAGTAGTAGGCGAGAAAGGAGAGGTCTGCTGTACCATATATGAGTTAGCACCCTGGCTGGGATTGAACTAAGGCTGCCCTGGTTATAGCATCATAGTGCAGAGACTTAACCCCTAAATCACCAGGGATATCCACCAAAGAGTTTTTTTAACCTCTGTATAAAATTTACTACACTTCACCTCAAAGCAATATAAAATAAAACTTTTCAACATTCTAATAAATGAATTTAGAATTTTCATTCTGCCTTCATGTTATAGTCATGAAATACACCAGCTAGATAAATCAGACATTTCTTCCTAATATACTATGTGGGTCAAAAGTGACTGCAGATAATATGGCAGCCATCTTTTATTCCTGGTGGTGAAGCTGAATTTTGTTTTTCATTAATCTTTGCTCACATACCTTTGCCTTATGAGATTTTAAGAAAAATTAATGAATTGCTTTCAACTAAATATGGAGAAGTATTTTTTAAGTACTCAAACTCACTTTTAAAATTATATGTTCTTGTTCCAGGTTTAATAGATAACTCTGGGCTGAGACTATTTCATACAATGGATATAAGGAAATATGATGCTGGGGTGATTGAGGCTGGTCTTTGGGTAAGCCTCTTCCATACCATCCCTCCAGGGATGCCTGAATTCCGGTCTGAGGGTCACTGCACTTGGGAATGCCTGGAAGAGGTATGTTGGCTCTGAACCTGCAGGCTGGTATTTCCAGATCAGTCAATGCTCTTAGAAATGTTGTGAAAAAAATAATTTTTTTAATTAGCAAGAAGTTTTTTGCTCTTTCCACTCATTTTAAGTTTCATTTTTCTTGTCCTGTTGCAAGAACATTATTTGTGATTTTACCAAGATCTTTGGTTGCTTTTTTAAATCTCGAAGACTACAAGAGTAGAATTCTGAAGATGAGAACAACTTCCAGAGTGTTTTCCTTCCTGCTCCTACATTTGATTTTTCATGCTGTGCTCTTAATCTTCACAATTTTTATTTTTGTTTTTGTAGTCTCTCCTGTTTCCCTAATTTACCTCTTTTCCATAGTTGTTTTATTTCATTATCTATACTCAGCTTTTCTGCTTTATATTTTTCTTCTCTAACCAAAAAACAAGGATACTTGATATAAAAGTATATATTATATAAAATAAAACCATATCTAAGTATTTGATAATGGCTGCTTCCATGTATAGGTTTTTTTCCTTGAATGAAAGTTGTTTAGCATAGGCGATATTCTTTATGAACCATAAGATATTGTGGCTGTGGACAAGGTAGCACATAGGGGAAGCAGAAATCTTGTGCTGGAATGAATTACTCAGACCATAGGTGAAATGGCCACAATGCTATTTCCCAGCTGCAGGACCTTGGGCAATTCATTTTATTTAATTATTGATTGATTGATTGATTATTATTATTTTAAAGATTTATTTATTTATGCATACAAGAGCTGGGCACAGGCCAGAGATGCAGGGGTGAGAGGATTCACCAGAGACAGAGTGGGGAACAGAACAGTCAGACTGACTGAAATACACTGCTGAGGGGAGCAGTGGGTGAGACAGGTGAGGTCTGCCTTGCCATGTGGGTAGCTCCCTGGCTGGCTGGAGATCAAACTCATGCTGCAGAGGCTGCGGATTGCTTCATAGTGTGGTGCTTAACCCCTTGACCACTAGGGAGGCCCCAGGTAATTCATTTTAATTCCAATCTCCCACTTGGGTTTTCTTTTCTGAAAAAGTGATTTCTCCTTTCAAGAGTTTAACTTCACAGGTTATGCTAGTACTCACCTCTTTTTGCTAGGAGCTTGGATACCTCTTTAAGGCCTAAAAGAAGGGAAATGAGAGATAGCATTTGAGACTGGCTTGAGAGGTCTTCCGTATGCATTAGTTTTCTTTTTCCTGACAAATGTTGCTTCACAAAGAACATTGTAAGAATAAGTCATGAAAAGTACAAATTAAAAATGTTTGGCAGCGTGAGATTCACTTCAAGTGCTTTGACTTTTCTTCTCAGTTGTCCCTCCAAGTCTGTTTTAACATGAACTGTCTGAACACGCATTTGTTGGGGCTAATTGCATCCTCCCCTCTGTTCCCCTAGGCTCTGAAAGCGGAAAAGCCAAGTGGAATCCACGTGTTTGCTGTTCTCCTCCACGCTCACCTGGCTGGCAGAGGCATCAGGCTCCGTCACTTTCGCAAAGGAGAGGAAATGAGACTACTTGCTTACGATGATGATTTTGACTTCAATTTCCAGGAGTTTCAGTATCTAAAGGAGGAACAAACAATCTTACCAGTAAGAATGTTTGGATTTTTCCCCACTGAATATGAGAAAAGGCATGAAACATCTGTCTGCTGAGATTCATAGCTAAGTGAATTGTTCTCTGCGTCCATATTCTTACCCACCATGGGTTGCACAACCCAGGTGGATTGTGTTTGATCTTTCTTCCAAGATCAAAACTAATTTCTTCTTATTATTCCCAGGGAAATTCAAGTTATTTTTTAAAGATTTATTTATTGATGCATGCAAGAACTGGGGTACAGGCCAGAGGTTTGAGGGGGGAGGTGAGAGTATTCACCAGAGACAGAGTGGGGAGTGGAACAGGCAGAACTACTGAAATACACTGCTGAGGGGAGCAGCAGGCGCGATAGGAGAGGTCTGATGCGCCATGTGGGTATCTCCCTGGCCGGGGATCGAACTTGTTCTGCAGTGGCTGCGGATAGCTTCATAGTGCTGTGTCTTAACCCCTTGTGCCACCAGGGAAGCCCTCAAGTTATTGATTTGAAAAGAAAATAAATATTTGAGCTCTGGGAATTTAATATTACTCTTTGCTTGAGTCCCCAATTTACAATTCTTTGGGTTGTAATTCTGTAGTGGTAAATTACCATCAGTTTTACCATAGAAAACTTTTGGAAGTTTCATTTGAATGTAATGATAATTTTTTCATTTGAAAGAGGTTTTTGGACATAGCTGATGATACTGTGTTGTGTTATCTAGCTTTCAACTTTGGGCTACAATACTTTTGGTAGTGATAGAAACATACAGAAGGAAATCTTACCCCTTACAATAATGAGGGCTTTAAAAGTTATGATGCTTCATATTGTCAGACATTTTATTCCATGACTATCAAGCTCAATGGTCATACAGTTTCTAAACTTTGCTCCATTCTTTAATGTCATGGTCCTGTACTATTTATGAAATACTAGTAATAACATTATCTCTTCTATAAGCAGAAGATCCTTGATACACCTCAGAGTAGAAAGATGAAGTTCAACAGTGATCTTGTCTAGATTTGTAAGGAATACACTCTCTTTTATTGTATTGTCATATCTTGGGAACTTTCCAACCAGTTTCATTGTGTTATCTCCGAGCCCCTCAATTGTATGCTGTGAGCAGGGTGTAAATGTGTTGTGATACGACATCTGTACCCTAATGTAGTGAGGCAGGGAGGGAAAATCTGGAAGCTGGTGCCTAGATTTAGCTGCTTTGATCCATGAGTAGCCTTGTCCATTTTACCTGAGTGGGAGTCATAAAAAATTACAATTTTCTATGTGTGTTTGATTGTTCATAAAGTTAAAAAACACTGAAACGATAAATTATTATTAATTTACCTCATAATGCTTTTGTTAGTAAAAAGACATGGCTGAAGTCCTTTAAAAATATAATGGAGGGCCTCCCTGGTGGCGCAGCGGTTGAGCCCTGGGTTGTGAAGCTGCCCACAGCCTCTGCAGCGCCGGTTCGATCCCCAGCCGCAGGGCGAAGGTCCCACATGGCGCGCAGACCACTCCTGCCGCCCGCTGCTCCCCTCAGCAGTGTACTTCATCAGTCTGCCTTCTCTGCCCTCCCCTCTGGCTCTGTTGAATTCTCTCACCCTCCCGCACTTCTGACTGTACCCAGTGCTTGTATAAATAAATAAATCTTTAAAAAAATATATAATGGAAATGAAGAAGTAGGCACAGTAACTAGTATCTATGACTAATGTTTAGAATATGTTTAATCTATGCTAAAGACGAAGCATATCTTTAATCTCTTTATAGTATCGGTGACAAATTAGTGCTATTTTTATCATTATGTTTTATATGAGCAAAGTATGCCCAGTGAATTCATTTCCTTACCTAAGGTCATTCAGCTGGACCAGGCTGGATGCTAGCCTAGACACAGAGAGTCTGGCCTTTTGTCTGCTTGCTAAGTTATTGTACTAGCACTACTAGAATTATATAGAGCAAATGTCTTCACCTGAGTCAAATTAATTAATGCATCTGTTCATATAACAAATTGAGCCATTGCTTTACAAATGTATTAATAAATAAATTCCAATCTGAAAGCTTTTACTTTTATGTTTTAGGGAGATAATCTAATTACTGAGTGTCGCTACAACACAAAAGATAGAACCCGGATGACTTGGGTAAGAAAATTTTTACTATTATTAAAATTAATTTGTGGAGAAGGAGGAATACATTTTGGTTTTGGAAGATTAAAAGTAATTGTTTCATATGTAAGAAAAATTCCTGAACACCTTAAGCACACAACATTGTAAAAATGAAATAAAAGCATTTTCATTTATCAGACTGAACAAGTGATAATCATGGTAATATTTGTAGTATAATTTACTAACTTTCATGAGAAACTATCCTTAGCCTTCTAATTTTTATCCACCAAATATTATTTAATAAAAAAGCCTGTTATTACTAGTAACCATCCATTTTGTCTATTTGAATCTGGATTTAGATGAATCAACACTTCAAAAGGAAGAATGAATTACATGACCCTAGGGCTTCTGACCCAAAGAGAATTCTAGACCCAACAGATTTACTGGGGGACTTCTGCCAGTCATTCAATAAACAGATCATCCACTCTCTTCCAAGGAACACAAAAATTAGGAACACCTCTCACCAGCTAATTTTATGAAGTTTATATAATCTTAGTAAAACTTGATAAGGATAGTATGAGAGATCAACAAAATGTATCTGGTAAAAAATATCTTTGACAAAGTACTGACAAACCAAATCCTGCATTTTGTAAAAATATAATGTTAGGACCAATTTGGATTTACCCAAGGAACATAAATATGGTATACATTAGAAAATAGATTAACATCATCTACATTAAGAGATTGAATGGAGAGGGCATATGATCACCTCAATATGGGTAGAAAAAACATTCTTAAAATATGTCAGTTATAGGGAATAACCGAGTATGGTTAGCAAACTGGACTAGGAGAGACTTGCCTTGATCAGATTAAGATTAGTTATGAAAAATCTATAGACAATAGCAGATTAAATAAAACCCTAGCAATAGTTTCTTAGAGCAAGAAGAAAAATCAGGATATTTATTATCACTATTATATTTTTAACATTGTTCAGGGAAAAATGAATAAATAAGTTTTAAACAGAAAAAATTAATTTGCAAAACACAGATTAATAAAGTATTAGTGTCCAATTAATAAAAGGAATTTTATAAATCTGTAACATACGATATTCAATAGAAAAAACAGTAACAAACAAAAACATTTCACAGAAATAAAAGCTCACATTGGTAATAAACAAAATGAAGTAAGTTCAGTTTCATTTGAAACCAGGGTCATGCAGATACAAATCAGATGAGATATTTTATAATGACCAGTTTGGCAATATTTAAACTTTTATTTCCAGTGTGCTAACCTGGAATGCTCATACATTGCTAGTTGGAATGTAAATTTATAAAACCACTTTGAGAAGAAACATGACTATTTGGTAAAATTAGAGATTTATATATGCTCTACCCAGTTCCTTTCCTATGTACATTTAACTTCGAGGTTACTTTTGCAGGCCCTCCTCTGGGAGAGAAATATATAAAATATTCATAGTAACATATAACAACACAGGAACAAAAAACTGGAAACAGCATAACAGTTTATCAAAAGGAGAACAAATAAGTTACAATATATGCATATAGTAAAAAAGCACATAATTATGAAAATTATTGAACTAATCCTGTATATTAACATGAATATATCTGTAGAAAATATTGATTGAAATGAGCACAATTGCATCAGAATCTATGTAGTAAGATATCCTGTGTTTTCAGTACAAACAGTATATAGTTTAAGGATAATATATCAACAAACTGTCTTATCTGGAATGAAAAGCTATAGAATTAAAAATAAAATATTAAGGTAATCGTCTTTGGCTGGGGTGAGAAAGAGTTGAAAATGGGTTCATAGAGAATAGTCAAAGCACTGATGTTGGCTTTGTTTTTCTAATGCCTTATATATAATTTTGCTTTTATAATATATTTTACTGAAGACATAATAAATAATTATTTGAATGTATATTGTGGACACACTCCCTATTCTAGACCAACAGAACTAAATGCCAACCAGTGAAAATATTAGATGATAAGAACTCACAGCTGTCCCTGAGCATCAGGGAGAATTTCTATTGGTCTATCTTCAAGCTCACTGATGCTTTCATCTCCTACTTTAAATCTTCTCTTGAGTTCATCCTGTGAATTTTTTAATCAGTTATATTACTGCTCAGCTTTAGATTTTTTTATTGATTCTTTTTTATGTTTTCCTTTCTCTGATATCATTCCTTCCTTCTTTACTCATTTTAACACATTTTCTTTAATTACTTCTACATGTTTTTTATTTAACTCTTCGAACATATTTAAATATGTTAAATCTGGCATCAGTTTTAACCATCAGTTTTTCTCTGTGTGAAGATTATAGTTTCCTGTTTTTCTCATGCTTAAAAATTATTGGTTGAAAATTGGACATTGCAGATAATATGTTGTAGCAATCCAGATTCTATTCTTCTGAGGATTTTGATCTTTTAAAATTTTAGTAGATAATTTATTACCTAGATTCAAAGCATGAAATCTCTATATTTTTTCCTCCCCTGTGGTTTGCAGCTGCTGGTGTTTAATACACATGATGACAAGATTATAGAAAATTTAGTTCGGTCAGGCAAAGAGTCCCTCAAACTCACTGATAAGTTAACAAAACATCCCCACAATACTCTGAAATATTCTTACAGTAGTAAGTAATATTCTTACAGTAGTAAGAAGTTTATATCATGTAATCAGAACTTAAAGGAGATAATTAGGTTATTTAAGGAAGGCAACTTTTAAAGAGATGAAAATAATTCTATTAATTTTCAAATGTATCACTACCTTTTTAGAGACTTAATTGCGATTTAGGATGCTTTTCAGTTTTAAGATTTATTAATATTCAATATTGGAAAGAATGTATTTCATTTTAGTTTGTACATTATAAGTGTCAGAGTTGTAGAACATGTCTTTCTAAATAAAATATCATCTCTATTTTTCAGGGAGGACTTAGCACCAGAAATGAAATGTGTCTCTCATATCTTCTTTATTATCCAAGAATTAATCTTACTCGATGTGCCAGTATTCCAGATATTATGGAACAACTTCAGTTCATTGGTGTTAAGGAGATTTATAGGCCAGTCACGTAAGTTGTAAAATGAATTCTTAGTAGGGATAATATACTTTGGAGAAGGATGGGTTTTATTTTCACTGTTGATTCATCACCAAGTTATGAAATTCATTTTTGTACTGTTCTATTTGGATGTTTTCAACTGGGGAGACTGATTGAGCTTCTTGGTTACTATGTCCAGGATCTCTAAGACTATACTTCCCCCTCCCAGGTTCATTGATTTGCTTGGAGTACCTAAAGGATTCAGCTATAGTTGCATTCATGACTAATATTTATCATAGAGAAGTAAACAAAAGAAAGGCATATAGGGCAAAGTTTTGGAAACCAGCTGCAAATTTCCAAGAGACCTTTCTCAATGAAGTCACACAGAATGCACTTAATTCTACCTGCATCAGATTGTGACACTGTATCAGCATATTGATAACATGAAATGTTATCAACTGGGGAAATCACTAGAGACAATTCCCACAGTTTTTACTGGAGCTGGTCACATAAGTTGTTTTTGCCAAACATAAGCGGATGTTCAGAGTGACTGTGCTTTTTCGTACAATCTAAGCCTCATGAGTCATTCTTATCATTTATTTATTTTTTAAAAGATTTATTTATTTATTTATTTGTTTGTTTATTTATACAAGCACTGGGTACAGTCAGAAGTGCGGGAGGGTGAGAGAATTCACCAGAGCCAGAGCAGGGAGCAGAGCAGTGGGCAGCAGGAGAGGTCTGCACGCCATGTGGGACCCTCCTCCGGTGGCCGGGGAGGAGCCGGGGATCGAACCGGCGCTGCAGAGGCTGCGGGCAGCTTCGCAACCCAGCGCTCAACCGCTGTGCCACCAGGGAGGCCCCATTCTTATCATTTAGAGAAATTTTTATATCAGTATAGGAAGTTGTTTGTTAATTAAGTTCCCTCGTGGCAGCCAAAGGTCAGCCTTACAAGCAGGGCAATCTCAGACTGCTTTGTTAACTCTTTCTGCCCAGTTATATTCCATAGAATCTACTTAAAATAAAATATTACACAAAATTACTATTATTCCTGCCTTCCTGAAATTACCTTTTAGACTGGTGAAGTAATAAATAATATAAATGTAATATTTCATATGTTAGTAATTGTTATGAAAATAATAGAGTGAAGAAAGTGTGAGGTTGTTGTCAACAGGGTGGTGAAGGCCTATCTGGGGAGGTGTCTTAGTCCATCCTGGATGCCTAAACAAAAATACAATAGACTCGCTGACTTATAAACAGCAGACATTTATTTCTGAAATTCTGGAGACTGTGAAGTCAAGAGCATGATGACCCCACTTCTCAGTCACAGCTTCCACTTCTCAGTGTAATCCCACAAAATCAGTGGCTTCTGTGTTGAGAAAGGACTCTAGGAGGTAAGAAAGGAAGAAGAATATGAACCACGAGACTCTTATGATTATCCAGTTCAGAGGTGAGGGTTCCTTACCACCAGAATGGTAGAAATAGAGTTGATGAGAATTGGTTGCTTTCAGGTTACCTTCCGGAGGCAGTACTCACAGGATGTGTTGGTTGGTTGCATCTCAGGGATATGGTAAGGGAAAAGGAAGAGTAAGGAAAGTGATATTGTATGAGCGGTGTTAGGGAAACATATTTGAAGAAGAAATTGAAAATTTGGGCCTCCCCTGTGGCGCAGTGGGTTGAGTGCAGTGCTGTGAAGCTGTCTGCAGCCTCTGTAGCGTGGGTTCGATTCCCTGGTGGCCAGGGAGATTCCCACATGGCATGGCAGACCTCTCCTGTTGCGCCTGCTGCTCCCTTCAGCAGTTCATTTCGGTCATCTGCCTGTTCTGCTCCCTGCTTGGTCTCTGGTGAATCCTCTCACCCTCCCACGCCTCTGGTCTGTACCCCAGCTCTTGTATTAAAAAACAAAAAGAAATTGAAAATTCTATTTTAGATATGTTAAGGTTGCTCTAGGAAAAAAGATTTATATCTATTCATAGTAACCAGAGAGAAGAATTAGGGTAACTGGTAGAACTCTGAAATGTAGATTTTGTTTTAATGTAAGGAAAAAATTTCTAATGATTAGACCTCTTGAAAATGGAAATTTGTTTAATTTAAAATTAAAGAAATGACATGTAGCTTTTTGAGGAAGTCTATTCAAGGAGAGGGTTAAAAAGAAAAGCACTGAGGATGTGGTAAAATGCAGATACCAAGGGAAAATACAAAATGATCTATTTATTGTTCCTAAATATTGTAAGGGTTATAAATTATGAACTAAGAATATTTTTTATATTAAGCTTACTCTTTATAGATATGTTCTCTGGATAACATTTCATATGTTAGTAAGTGTTATGAAAATAATAGAGTGAAGGAAGTGTGAGATCATTGTCAACAGAGTGGTGAAGGCCAATCTGGGTCCTATCCAGCCAACTCAGTGACCACCAGAACAGAACTAAAATACAAATATCAAAATGCTTGCATAAGTTAGTTTGTAGCTTATAAAGTATTTTCAAATACATGATTTAATTAATTTATTTTTGCACAAAACTAATAGGTAGAGGGAGACTTGTGACTCCAGTTTGATAGAGAGGAAATAGAAACTGAAAGATTAAGAAACTGCCCAACATCACATAATACATTATAAATGGAGCAGCTAGGATTTATATATTAGTCTCTAAGATATATATTTATACCTCCATCTACACAGAATCTGCTTTTTTATTTAAAATAAGTAATTACATATTAAAAATTAAAAAAAGGCACACTAGAATATAGTTTTGTTTATAAAATATCAATATTATATTGCTCCTTCCTAGTTCTTAGGTTGTCCTTTTTTGCCTTCAGAGTATTTTTTACATATTGACTAGAAACTTTTCCTACTTAGGGGTTAATGTTAGAGGATGATGAAAACAAATGGGCATTCACAACTATATGTTTATGTAAATTTAATTCAATTTACATTGAATGAAAAAAATTATATTGAATGAAATACATTCAATGACCCAATGACTTTTGTGATCAACTTAAGTTAAGCTTCTAAAAATGCTTAGCTCCTGTGTCCTCAGGCTCTGGTAATGTCCTGGTCATTCCCAGGAAATACTGAAGTTGGGTTTTCCATCACATGGAAAAGACAGGGAGAATTTGCTTTATAGAACAAGGCCAGTTTTGAGATGTCATCGCCCACATAAAACCATTTAACTACATGGTTAAATTTATTTATTCTTCGAAAACATGAGTGAAAAAGAGCCTCTGTTGTAAAATACATGGTTAGACTTTAAACTAGACTTTCAAGTCTAGTTCATCATCACAGTGACATAAATGTTATTGCAGGCCAAACCAAAAGGTACTGGCTAAAATATCAGAAAGTGAGAAATAGTTTGCATGCTTTTTACTGTTTTGCTTTAAAGACTATTGCTAATTTGGTTTCAGGGTACAATTTACTAAAAAGGAAGATCATATGACCCCAAGTCTTCTTTTCTGTGTTTTTAATATCATGATTAGTTAGGTGCCCTATTTTATTTTAAGAATTCTGTAGCAATCCTAGTTTTAGAGAATGAGTGGGTAGGAAAATAGAGACAACTACATCCTGTCTCAGAGTTTGTCTGCTCTGGGGATGCAGTATTTTTCTCTGCCTCCCACAGCTGTGACATCGCTTAAGGAAAAGCAAAAACCTCACAAATATCGGGTAACAGTTTAGATAAATTCTGTATTCTCTGCTACACCACACAGCAACACTGAGATTTATGTGATGCAAAATTCCCTTGTTATTTGTTCTATTTCTAAAGAAATATCAAGAGATGTATTTTTTTTTTGAGAAAGATCACGTTATGTATGTATAGTGTGTAAAAGTCTCACGTGCTTATTATAACAAGTTTAGTTATTGCAGGAAAAAAAGCTTTAAAACGAAGACAAAAGCAATCAACTCAAATTCTGTTAGATATAAGCAATACTAACATTAATTGAATGCTATTACAGACCTTTTTCTGGGTAGGAATTGATGTAAAGATGATTACATTGTTATAAAGATTCTAATTTGTACGCTGCTTTAAATAAAAACATTAATTTTAATTTTGTTTTGTCAGAAGTAAATACTGAATAATTGTTAAACATTAGATAAATGTGCTTTTTTTTTTAACTTCAAGGTAGTACTTTATAAAGAGACTATCAAATGTTGAGAGAAGAGGTCACAAAAGACAATTAGGTATTGCTCTCACTTTTTTAAATGATGTTTTAATCTTAGATCATAAAATATATGGGCATTCATACGCTTTTTTTTTTTTTTTTTTGTGGGACCCTCGCCGGTGGCCAGGGAATGAACCTGCGCTGCAGAGACTGCGGGCAGCCTGGCAGCCCAGCGCTCAACCGCTGGGCCACCAGGGGAGGCCCTGGGCATACATACTCTTACATTTGCTACTACCTCAATCTTCTGTACTTCCAAATACTGATAATTTATATTATAGTTTTCTATTTTCAAGATTTCTGCCTTTAACATTTGACAGTGAAACCTGAGTCTCATAAAATTTAACACAAACTTTATATTTAAATATATTCAATAGTATCAAAAGATAATTTTGTTATTTGAAAGTTTTATTGAAGTAATATTTATTTATATCATTATATAGATTTCAAGTGCACAGCATTATAATCTGTATACACTCCATTAACCATGCAACTAGACCAAAAGTCTAGTTTTCATCCCTACTATGCTGTTGACTCCTTTTACCCAATTTACAAATCTACCCCCTCCTTCCCCACTGCCTCATCCCTTTCCTTTCTGATAACCACAATTTTGTTCTTATGGCCTAAAAGTATGTTTTTGTTTTGTTTTGTTTTTTGATTTGTTTCTTTATCTTTCACATATGAGACACAGTATTTTTCTTTCTCCACCTGACTTATTTTACCCTCAAGGTCATTACATTTCTGAACTCCTTAATTAGATTCTTTGGAATTTTATCCTCAAGTTGTTTAGTCAAGAAGGGCTTCCAGGTGTTTCATGGCCTGGTTCTTTTGTTTGAGAATTTTTGCATTTATATTTGGACAGCAGTTGACCAGATATAACATTTTGGGGTCATACTTTTTTCCCCCTTGGGAGATCTCTTTCAATGAATAGGATGTTCTTCGATAAATTGAACATATTTCAATGTCCAGCATTTGAATTAAATTTTCCTGAAATACAGTGTTCCTTTAGCACATATATTCATTTCTGGTGTATGTTTTTTTTTTTTTTTAAATTTGGGGGAATTTTCTTACATCTATAAACTTTTTTCCAATCTTTTAGAGATTTTCCTCAAACATTTTCTTTTTTGGTTTTTCAGAAGTACTCTTCTGCATCTTGCTTTTTCTCACTTCTTGTGTGTCTACTGTGATGTGTTTAAAATTTGTTTTCTTTAGTCTGCTATGTTCTTTTCATCTGATTCTGTTGATTGTCTTGTACTTGAGCTCTTGTTTAATTGAATTCATGCTCTTATTACATAAACTCATGTTTCCAGAATTTCTCCTCTTTATGTTTTTTCTTTCTCTTTCTCCAGGCTGTAATCTGAAAGTGTGGCGTAGGACAGTCTGGAGAGCTTAGAGATGACAAGTGGGAAATCTGTTGATGTGTTGTTATTGTGGAGCAGGGGCCCAAACAAAGTTAGTGGTTAGGCAAAGAAGACCATAAAAATGAGACAAAAGATATTGTCTCAGAGAGCCCCGCTACCTCACTTACCCTGGATCCAACCCATGAACACGGGGTTTCCCTTCTTTACATGGTTTCCCAACATATTTCTAGTGAGTTAGTAAGTAAGTGTCTTTATACCTCTTCCACTTTATGTTGTGAATTTCAGTAAATACTTATTTACTGACTTATTTTAGCAATAAAGTTTTTTATGATTTATTTATGGGCAGCTCTCCTGCCTGCCTGTGGCTATGCACAGACCTTTTTTTCTTTCTCCATTTCGTAATAATCCTGTCCTTTTAAAATGTAAAAAAAAAAAAAATAAGATTTTATCTATGTACAAGAATATCACACTATTCCACCCCTTCCAGCAAACCTGCAGAAAATTCAGAGGATTTTGTCCATCTCACGCCTCAGTAGAGATTCTGCTGCCATCTCGTGGTGTTTTAGGTGATTACAGACCGATGCTGTCCCCTCTGAATGTCCCTGCTTAGAAAATTGATTTTCTTTTTTTTAAGACAGATATCTTTTGGAAAAGTAAATTTTATTTTCAGTACTTGATTTATAATTTTTTATTTTCTATTTAATAAAACATAAGTTAGCTTTTAGTGTATTTAAAAGGTCATTGTATGTAAACAAAATAGGCTCCATTCAAGTTTTTGTTTTGCACTAATTCTAAATTTTGTCTCTACAAGTCTTCACAACATGTTTAATTTTAAAAAAATTATTGACATAACGTGGGTTTATAAGATTATGAGATTTAGGTGAGCAGCATTGTAATTCTATATCTTTGTATTCTACATCATGGGTCACCTCCCAAGTCTAGTTTTTATCCACCACCATTCAGTTCACCCCTCACCTAACTTGCCCACCTCCCAGCCGCCATCCCGTCTGGTGACCGCCATTTTGTTCTCATAATCTCAGAGTTTGTTTTTGTTTTGTTTGTTCATTTGTTTTGTTTCTTTTTTCCTTTCTAAGTTTTAAGTGTCCAGCTTTATGCTTTGACAATTGTGTGTGCTGCATTAAGATCACCACTGAAAGTCTGTTTTCCATCCAGCTCTATAAAGTTGACTACTTTACTCATTTTATCCATCTCTTCTTCGCCTTTCTCTCTAATCACCACCATTTTGTGATCAGAGTCTAAGGGTTTGTTTTGTTTTGTTTATTCAGTACATTTATTTCTTTATCTTCCATTTATAAGTATAATCATACCATATTTTGCCTTTCTCAGTCTGCCTTATTTCACTTAACAAAACCCCTCAAGATCTACCCAGGTTGCAAATGGTAAAACTTGATCTTTTTAAATAATACACCTGAGTAGTATTTCATTATATATGCATACCACATCTTCTTCATCGTGCATGTATTGAGGTTTATTTTTTTGTGGCAACATATGATATTTGTTGCCATTTTGTTAATTGTTCTCTGACTAGTTTGGTGTTTCCATCCCCCCTCCTTCTTTTTATCTCTTCCCTTGAGGTTTGGTTTCTTTAGTGATCTATTTAGATTTCTTTTCACTCTCTTTCATCTAACTACTGTAAGTTTCATGTCATGTTTAATGGTAGTAAGTTTAATGCAGTGGGATGCCGATTGCTCTTTATGGTGTTTACTTTAAGGTCTGTACAAAGCAATGCATTTAAGTTTTAACAAAGATATAGTGACTTTAATGGATAAAGGATAAAGGAAATTTAGAATGAAGGAAATGATTATAATGTAGACATTAAACACTGCTCGTTATGACTCTGAGAAATTTATAAAGAACACTATTTAAAAGTTAACATGGGGCTCCCTGGTGGCACAGGGGTTAAGACACAACCTACAAAGCTATCCGCAGCCACTATAGCATGAGTTCGATCCCTGGCCAGGGAGCAACCCACATGGTGCAGCAGACTTCTCCTGTCTCCTCTGCTGCTCCCCTCAGCAGTGCATTTCAGTAGATCTGCCTGTTCTGCTCCCCAATCTGTCTCTGGTGAATCCTCTCACCGCCCTGCACCTCTGGCCTACACCCTAGCTCTTGTATGCATACATAAATAAATCTTAAAGAAACAGTTAATATTCAATATGTCTGAGTATATGAGAGGTGAGTAATGGCATAAATAAATGAAGAAATTTTAAAGATCAGATACTAGAAATGTATAGTCTTTAGCTGGAGGGTAATTTGTGGGTAATTGGGAAAATACAGGAAGGTTTTCTTGGGGTGTCACAGGAGGCAAATACCTCCCGGTTTCCCATGATCATTTCCAGGAAGCTATTTGAATTAGTGTGAATTTTTGTGATGTGCTAACTCTTACTTTTTTCAAGTGTCAGTAATACAAGCCTTTTAAAAAAATATTTATTTATTTATGCATATAAGAACTGGGGTACAGGCCAGAGGTGTGGAGGGGTTAGAGGACTCACCAGAGATAGAGTGGGGAACAGAACAGGCAGATTGACTGAAATACAGTGCTGAGGGGAGCAGCAGGCGAGTCAGGAGAGGTCTGCTGCGCTATGTGGAAATCTCCCTGGCTGGGGATTGAACTTGTGCTGCAGTGGCTATGGACAGCCTCATATATATTGCGTCCCACCCACCTGCGCCACCAGGGAGGCCCAGTAATACAAAACTTATATTTAATGAAGACATCCCCTGAAGAGTGTCTTTTCTGGTTGTTTATGTCATTCTGTGATTTTTCTTTTGGACATTTAACATGATTTTTAGAGTAACAAATAAAAGTAAAGGATATTATCTGCACATTATTTTTTTCTCAGTAAAATTTTTAAAACGTCACTACAATTTTAAATCCTTTGGATTTTTGGTCATGTAGGCAAGCCAAAACAGGACAGCCAGCAGGGGTCAGTCTTTTCAAAGGTATGGGGTTGAAATTTCTATCCCTGTTACAGTTACTTTGAAGAACCTACAGATTTCTCAGTTATAACAGAACGCGTTTCAGAACTGACTACTTACCAGTTATATTGTTAACTGGAATCAAAACAAAGAAGTGAGAAATTGTGAGGCTCTTAGAGAAGTTTCCTAAACCAAAATTATTTGTCTGAATGTAATGTTTATCTGCTACTAAAACAAGGAATTTCATTTTTAAAAGATTACTTAGTATGTATTTTATCTAAAAGCTGCCAATAAATTCAGCACTTTACATTAGTTAATCTATGTGTGTAAAAACAAAGAAGGCCTATTTTATATTATTGAAAAATAATGGGTATATAATGCTTTTGCTCTTAATATGACTAATTATGGTTATTAATTTTAAATTCAGGACCTGGCCTTTCATTATCAAAAGCCCCAAGCAGTATAAAAACCTTTCTTTCATGGATGCTATGAATAAATTTAAATGGACTAAAAAGGAAGGTGTCTCCTTCAATAACCTTGTGCTTAGCCTGCAAGTAAACGTGAGGTGCTCCAAGACGGACAATGCAGAGTGGTCGGTGAGTTCTATTTTGTCTTAGTCTTCTGGGAAACCAGATATTACTTTCACCTGAATCCACAACAGAAAATCTAAGGAACAGACACATATCCTCAAATCTAGTGGTGAGCTTTTGATGTGTCTCATGATTTATATGTTTTGTAATTACTTTGGTTTAGCTGAAAACTGATTCCACTCTTTTTGTAGAGGGAAATATATTCTAAAGTTAGAATATGATTGAAGCCAAAGTAGGGTGAGCTCAGAGCTCCTGAAAGCACTGAAGTCTATTTTGTGCATCTCTTTTTTCGCAGGCGGCAGGCGCTTGAGTAGCCTTCTGCTCCAACTCCCTCTGAATCCCAAAAGCTCCTGCTGCCCTGACCTTTCCCTCCTTTGGTGACTCTCCCTGCCACACCCTTTGTCCTTGGGGAAGGCCTAACAGCTGAGCAACCTTGGCCTTGGCTGAAATCTTGCCCTTAGCCTGAATGCTGATTGACATTGTCTGCTCTTCCATCTTCAGATTCAAGGGATGACAGCCTCACCTCCGGACATAGAAAGACCCTACAAAGCAGAGCCGTTGGTGTGTGGAACCAATCTTTCCTCTTCTCTGCACAGAAGCTTCTCTCTCAAGCTGCTGGTGGGCTTCCTGGTACTCAGCGGCTTGCTGGGCAGCGTCTACTTGTGATCATGATCCTGTGGTTTTGGGTGACGATGTTTCTGTGATCCAAACCTGTCAGTTAATGGCAGGTTAAAGACTCTCTGGTCTTGAAGCGTGAGCATTGCGAGCGTGGAGACCTTCCTTGCAAACACCCCCTTCCTCACAGTTTATGTGAGAGACCTCACTTGGGTTCTCCTCTTTCCCTCAGAAATGTCTGATATTGTCCATGGCCAATAAAACAGACGTAGCCTGATTTATGTCACTTTTTAAAAATTGGGGAAAGTCAAGTGGAAGTTAAAGAATTCATTATTTCCTTCCATATTCTACTTTATTTAAATACTCATTGTTGCTATTTTACTTATAAATTTGGTGTTTATATGTCTTTCTAAAAATGCATTCACCTTAAAAATGTAAAGAAAATTACTTTCCATTCCAGTTTTCTTCTCACAGTTTTTTGGGGTACAATTTCCCACGTGTTTCAGAGTGTCACCCTTTCTCTCCATGTTCTCCCCTTCTGTACTTTTCTGTGAAGCACCCACAGGCCCCTACTGCAGCGCTTTTGATGATGTCTATTCTATTCTTGCTTATCTGAGTCTGTTGTTTCTCCCAAAACCCCCAACTCATCTCAAAGTGTTTGTTTTCCACCCCTGACCAGGCAGGTTTCTTTGTAAGCTCTGTTACTCTCCAAGAGAAAGAAACGAAAAAGAAAAAGATGTGGGAAACATAAAATTGAATAAAACTGATTGTAGGCTGAGGAGATCATGTGCCTTGCTGCAGAGCCCATGCTGCAAGGGGTCCTTTCTGGGTTTCCAGGTCAAAGGTCAGACAGAGCCTGCAGAGGCGGTTGCAAGGTTTGTGCACAGAACCTCACTGGTGTGTTGGATGTCACATATGCTGCATACTGGCTCAGTTTGAGTCATAGTTGCTACTGTAGATTTATTTTTCTATTAGTTCCTAAACTGACTTTCCATAATAAAATTGTCACCAGTTGGGTATATATAGTTCAGCCATATCTTGTTTTGTGACCTTTCCTCATTTCTTAAGCTCAACCTGTTTGGATCATATCAATAAACTAAACAAAATTGAAATTTTGTGTGATATCTTTTATACTCCTTGGAAAAAGTAAGTGATTCAGTACTGATGCTCGCTGTCAACTCAATTAAGAATGGTGTATTTTTCTGTTCCATTTCAAGTCCTTTCTTTTTCCCTGGCACACAATATCTTTAATACAAACTATACTCTTTTAAGTAAGGATTGAATTTCATAGTGCTTCCTACTTGATTCTCAGAATTTGTCCATTTAATGAAATGTTTGTAATATTTATGAGGTATAATTTATAGTTAACTTTACTTCCTTTATTTCACAAGTTCTGTATCAGATTCTATGACTTTCCATCCAAATATTTGTATAGAAATAGGATAGTCCCAAACATTCCCTATTTGAAATTTTATGTTTATTTTTACTTTGGAACTTCTGAATCTGAGATGTCAAGGCAAAATAATTTCCTTTGGAAACCATGAAACATTATATTTATTTTCAACTTGGTAAGGAAGGTAGCATACTCTCTAGAAAATGATACACAGCTTTGGAAACATGTATTTTGGGAGCCAGGGCAATCCATTTTTGTGTTACTAAGAATACAGTTGACAGTCTTCTTCTAGGAATTCTAGTGAACATACGTAGTTTTAAGGAATTGATTTTTTTATTTGAAATCTGGATAGGTTGTTGAACATTTTGCAGGATTCTGATTAGAGGCTAAGTCAGTTTGCTCTTGCATGGAACGTACATCCTGAACATCCCTGCATTTTTTATTGCTGCCTTGGATCAAGTCGTTTCACCAATTTCCAATGTTGTTAGGAAGGAAAGCTGAGGCTGAGGGTAAGTGGAGTCTTGTGTACTGTGTTTGCACTGTCTTGACCCACAGTGCAGGAAGAGTAGGAAGCAGGTGATAAAACCAGTATTCAGGGAGGCCATGTCAGGTGGAGAGATCTTGAGTGATCTCTTACTCTCATGGGTTCTCATATAGGACAAGGTAGTCTTAGTAGCAATAAGAGTAACACAGTCAACAGAAGCAAAATATGAAGAACTTTGAATTTTTTCGTAATGACTGTAGGGGCCAATGCTAAGGGATAACAGAAGAACATTTGGAAACAACATACAACTAGGCCATTTCCAGACTTTCAATATGATAACCATTGTTGTGATGAAATATTTATAATTACAACTTTCTCATCTCATTATTTCTTTCGATGTTTTTGCAAGCAGAACTACTTATTAATTTTTGAGGTTTGTATTAATAATTATATCATCTTGAGAAATTTGTTATTATCAGGTGTCTTCAAGTTACTGTTCAATTTATTTCAAATGATTCAGAAAAGAATTCTATTTATATTTTCGATTTACAGAGAAAGAATGATATTTCAAATATGGTAAAATAATAACAATTGAAGACTAAGTGAAGGATGTAAGAGGGAAACGATTTTTTCTTCCTCTGATTATGTTTTTGTCCTAATCAGTAATTATATCATAATGAAGAATTATTTCATAAATTTTCTCTTTTTTAAGATATTACTGGAAAATTAAGCTTTTCCAAGTAATCCTACTAAACATAATGATATTCTGTTGACCGAAAATCAGGAAAAACAAGTGAAATGTAAAGGACTGGCTGGGATCGAAGAGATTTTAAGACAAAGAAGTGATTCTCCAAATTAGCCACTAGAGGGCGCACTGTATACACTAAATCCCGCCAACGCTGAGCAGGAGATTTGCTGGATTCCCCTAACCACAATTCCTGACTCTCACATATGAGGCTCTATCTTCTTCCTTTCCTATTATGTTTATTTGTAATAATTCTAAATTCATTTGTTCGAAGATTAGACTTTCTTTGTGAGGGCTTACCTGTAGGATTGACCTTAAATTTCTTAACATTTTACAATGATGACTCAGCCGTTTCAAAAAATTTCTAATTTGTCTTGTTTTGTATCTCAGCTTCCTAAAATTTCTGTTCCCTTAACTCTCACTTTTTAATTTTTTCTTTTTAACTTAACTTCCTTTTTTAATTCTGACTAAATCATCTTAATCATTATAAATCAATCTTGTTATTATGAAATCCATTTGTTCTTTGTTTAGATATATATATTTCTTTAATAACAGCTTGAAGCACTTAAATGGGATCTCAGTGGTGAGAATGAATTTTGTAAATAAGGAAAAGAGGAGGATTTCCCCCCCACCCCCCTGCAACTCTATATCACCAGTTTCCTGGTAAGGATTTTTCAAAACAGGTGAAACTAATTTTCCGGTATTTGAAGTCAGACCCCATCACTCAGAGTAGTGAATGCATGAGAATGGTGTTGCTCCCACAGGCAATTTAATCCTTATTATCCAATCCGATAATTTTTGTGTTTTAATTTGAGATATTTAGATGATTTAATCTTACTATGATAACTGATATGGTTGTGTTTAAATCTACTATCTGGTTGTTTTCTACTTGCTGCACTTGCTTTGTTCATTTCCCCTCATGTTACCATTTAAAAAACCCACAGACTCAAAATTATAAAAGCACATGATTTGGAGTAAATCACGACAATTTTATGCCAGTAGCCAGGAGCCCAATAAGGCAGCACCCTTGGGGAAGTGAGCAAATGTGGCATGTTGGTCCAGTTTTCTTCTGTCACTCTGTGATTGCTACTTAGCGGGAGAGGCTTTTCTTTCTTTCTTTTAAAGTCCTGTTAGGTGATCAACAGATACGTCCTGCAATCTGTCCTTACTAAATTGAGCTGTGGTTGACCAGCCCCTATAGGAAGTCTGCATGAAGCATGTAAGCAATTCATTTGTCCCCAATTATTCACTTTTTTTTTTTTTAAATTCTTGCCATTGTGGAACTTACATTCTTTTTTTATTTATTTATTTATTTATTTATTTATTTATTTATTTATTTATTTATTTATTTATTTATTTATACAAGCACTGGGTACAGTCAGAAGCGCGGGAGGGTGAGAGAATTCACCAGAGCCAGAGCGGGGAACAGAACAGGCAGAAGGACGCGGCAGGAGAGGTCCGCGCGCCATGTGGAACCCTCGCTGGTGATCGGGGTTCGAACCAGCGCTGCAGAGGCTAATGGGAAGCTTCGCAGCCCTGCCCTTAACCGCTGCGCCACCAGAGGAGACCCACCAATTATTCACTCTTGAGCCAGACACTACTATAGACTTGAAATAAACTGGCGAACAAGAAAACTGAAACCCAAATCTAAGGAGAAAACCAGGTTGCAAGCAAGACTTTTAATAATCTCATGTGGGGGTTCACTGTGCATTGCTAAGATGAATTATTTTGCAAGGAATGAAATCACATTCCTTGCAAAATAATTTATCTTTTTCATGGCTTTAATGGATGAATTGCTATTGTTTAAAAGACTTCCGTCAGTTTTATTGAGTTTTTTAACCTAACACTGGAAACTAGAGACAATATAAAATCAACACTACCTAAATTAAATGAACCTCTGCTGAGGGATTGGTGAAAACCTCTCACCTGCAGTAAAAACAGCTCTCCATTTTAGCGTTCTAGTATTTGATCTTTACAGAAACACAATCCCTAGAAAGAGCAAATTTTTATAAGTAGATAAGTTAAAAAACTAAACTGAAAATTAACAAAATTTCTTAATAAAGCTTCAACTTATAATAAATACATATTTTTCAAAATCACAGTGATGATTGTCAACCCGAAGTTTGAAAAAAGAAGCAGGCTCGTGAGGAAGACGCGCTACCTGGTGGCAGGAATGAAAAATAACTTAAACGGTTGACAATTCTCATTACGTTTGTTTTCTTGCTTTTGGAACTATTGAGTGCTAATGGCTTCTCTGCTTTATCTCCGTCCAAATACAATACAGACATGCAAATGTTCCTTTTATTTTTTTTATTATTATTATTATTTTTTGTCCACCAGGGAGGCCCAGTAAAACTTGTTTTTAAAAGATTTATTTATTTATGCATACTAGAAACTGGGGTACAGGTCAGATGTGGGGGGCAGGTGAGAGGAACAGAACAGGCAGACTGACTGAAATACACTGCTGAGGGGAGCAGTGGGCGAGACAGGAGAGGTCTGCTGCGCCTCTCTGGCTGGTTGGGGATCAAACTAATGCTGTAGAGGCTGTGGACAGCTTCACAGTGCTGTGCTTAACCCCTTGTGCCACCAGGGAGGCCCTCAATAAAACTTTAATTATGCACACCAACATTCAAATTTAACATAGTTTTTACATGTCATGAAATATTATTCTTTTGATTTTTTTTTCACAAAAATATAAAGCCATTTTTTTTGGAACTATTGAGTGCTAATGGCTTCTCTGCTTTATCTCCGTCCAAATACAATACAGACATGCAAATGTTCCTTTTAAAACATCAGGAATCTTCTGGGGTAAGCCAGGAATAAGAACCTTTTTGGATTTTAGCTGTTTTGAAGTGCATTGGGAGCACAGTGCCCTCTTGTGGTGGAACTGTTATATTGCAAAGAGAGTGGTAAATTTCCGTAGAGGAATCCAAAATAAGAATTTAAATTGGATTTGAATATCGTCAAAAAGTTGAGTGAGCAGGCATTTGAGGATCAGCATAGAAATCTTGAATACAATCCTAATAAAAATTTTATATTTTCTATTACCATATGTAAGAAGGACAAGAAAATTTACCTTAATTAATTAATTAATTAATTTAAAGATTTATTTCTTTATGCATATAAGAGCTGGGGTGCAAGCCACAGGTGCAGGGGTAGGGGTGTGGGGGCTATAGGATTCATCAGAGACAGAGTGGGGAGCAGAACAGGCAGATTGAATGAAATACACTGCTGTGGGGAGCAGTGGGTGAGACAGGAGAGGTCTGCTGGGCCATGTGGGTCACCTCCCTGGCCAGGCATGGCACTCTTGCTGCAGTGGCTGCCAATAGCTTCATAGTGCTGAGACTTAACCCCTGGCACCACCAGGGAGGCCCAAGAAAATTTACGTTTAAAGGATTTTTTTTTTTTTTTTTTTTTTTTTTTTGGTGGGACCCTCGTCGGTGGCTGGGGATCGAACTGGCGCTGCAGAGGCTGCAGGCAGCCTCAACCACTGCGCCACCAAGGGAGGCTCTAAAGGATGTTTTTTATAAAGTATTGAGCAAAAAGTGTTTCCTTCAATCTCTTGTCCAGTGTACATTAGTAGAATCTATTGAAAATATTCACATGGTCGACTATTTCCTGGCCACCTTAAATTAAAACATTTAAACAAACAATAAAAACACCAAGTTATTGTCAATATCCATTTGTAAGAAATGCTGCTAAATTCAAGTTTTCTATCTCAGAAACCTGCATATTTAGCAGATGCCTGGGATTAAAAATTATTGGTTTCAGTGAATTATGAGTAAATAATTACCTACAGTGTTTCAAGTTTTTGTTTTTTTTTATTTTTTTAAAGATTTATTTATTTGTACAAGAAGCAGGGTACAGGCCAGATGCCCGGGAGGGTGAGAGAATTCACCAGAGACAGAGCGGGGAACAGAACAGGCAGACTGACGAAATACACTGCTGAGGGGAGCAGCAGGCGTGACAGGAGAGGTCTCCCATGCCATGTGGGACCCTCACCTGCAGGCGGGCTGTGATCAAACCAGCACTGCAGAGGCTTCGGGCAGCTTCACAGCAGGGTGCTCAACCACCTGCACCACCAGGGGAGGCCCCAGTGTTTCAAGTTTTAAAAAATGAGGTCTGGTTGTTCAGAAAGTAGATTTGTCTAAACATAGACTATACTTTTTCCCAAAAGGAAAGATGCTTTTCTGACTAGTTTTCCTATTTTCTCAACTTTCTAAGGTTGAGTTTAAATGAAGTTTTAACTTACTATGAAACTGTAAAATACTGTCATTCTATGAGGTCTGTATTTTCAAGGTTCTCTCCAAAACATCAGAACCAAAAGGAGAAGATAGATGGATAGAGATGATAGATAGATAGATAGATAGATAGATAGATAGATAGATAGATAGATAGATAGATAGATAGAGATAGGTAATTTATTATAGGATTGACTCACTATGGAGGTTGAAAAGACTGGAGAATCAGGAAATCTGATGGTGTAATTCAGTCTGAGTCCAAAGGTATAAATCCTGTGTGAATCTGGAGGGCCAAGAGAAGATGAAGGTCTTAGCTCGGGGGCGGGGAGAGAATGAAGTCACCTTTCTTCTGCGTTTTTGTTCTATCCAGGTCTGGAATAGAAAGATCAGATGATGCCTAGGACTATTTGTTTTATTCAGTTCGCCAATTCAAATACTCATCTCTTCTCTAGCCAGCCTCAGACACACCTCCAGAACTAATGTTTTATCAGCTATCTGGGTTCATGTTGCCCAGTCATGTTGCCCAGTAACGAGCCATCACGAGATCGATTCTTGGCTTCAGAATAGTTACAGAAGTTAGAAAATTGAGATCACAAGACATTTAGATATACAAGGCTTCCTTTTTCATATAATTATCTTAGCTTGAAATATTCAGATCAAAGTCAGTAACATTGACTTATACCCTAAGGGCTGTGGTTAACCATTCTGCAGCTTTCTGGAAGCCACTGAAGGCCTGGAAATTAGCAGACTGATTCTGGGAAGATAGGATTCTGCAGAATAAATACCAACAGAATAACCCTAGACTTTTGTTTCCTCAATTTAGGGACTTTGGGGTTCAATTTACATAATGTACATATTTAATATAATAATATTTTAATTCAGGAAAAAGAAGGCAGGCCTATAGCTATTTTTGTTCTTTTCCACAGGAGAGGCGGAACCTGTCCACTTTGGGACACAAAGCTAGAAAAGGTCTATCCCTTAGCTCTCTATTTGAAGCGTACCAGACAGAGCTGGGCTGAATATTCCTCTCACTTTAGTTTGCTTTAATGACTGACATTCTACTAGTCCTTTCACATGCAAATCACACACACTCTCCTAGATGCTTAGCACATTGTAGGTACTTGGAAATGATTGCAAAAAAGAGTTTGCAATCTACATTTTGTGATTGCAGTGAAAAAAAGGTCTCAATATAAGAAATGGGAACTGACAGAAAATGGCATATGACTCACAGCTTAGGGGTCGTCAGGCAGGGGAAGGGTGGACACATCAGTGAGCAATTTGGCGGTGCATCCCTCTTCATGGGCGTTTTCTCATTTATCTTTCAAAAGTCTGTGAGGAATTTCCAGACATATAAAGGTATTGCACTGAAGGTCATACAATAGGTAGGCAGAGAATCTGGGATACTACAACAAAGGTAATAAGAATACAGACATCCAGACTCAAATGTCATTTCTTGAGGTGCAATTTTATGTCATCTATGATATGAGACAACAATCCTATGAAACAGATACAATCATATTTATTTTACAAATGAGAAAATTGAAATTTAGGGAGATAAGCTAATTTGCCTGCTTTGCCCCTAGTTAGAATTATAAAAAAAATGCTTCAGATTTAGACTCACTTCTGTCTGAGTAATAGACCTGGCTCCACTCTCTCTAGAAAGCTCGGTCTGGACCGTGCAGCCCATAATTTTGTCAATACCGTGCCTACTATAGTGTTTCTTCTCCACATGAACCATCCATGACAAGGAGAGTTCAGGAACTATTCTCACAGCCTGAAAAGTTCCTTTAGCTAAGATATAGCATCTCCAGGAGTTTCTTATTGAAAAACACAAGTTCTTTAGCTTGTGTTTGCCACAGTCATCAGAAAGCAGATCTGTGGTCAAATAAGTTTAGGAAATATGTGATTAAACAACATTTATTTATTTATCTATTTATCTATCTATTTTTTATTTTATGTATTTATTTATTTTTGGGTAGAAGAGCTAGGATGTAGGCCAGAGGTGCAAGGAGTGAGAGGATTCACCAGAGACAGTCAGGAGCAGAACAGGTGGATGTACTGAAATACACTACTGAGGGGAGCAGTGGGTGAGAGAGAAGAGGCCAGCTGCTCGCTGGCCAGGGATTGATCTCTGGCTATAATGGTGACAGTACTGAGACTTAACTCTAGGCCATGAGGGAGACCACCTCTCCCCCTGACCCCCCACTGAACAACATTTAAAAGTTGTTTTTCAAAGAAAGAATTCTTGGCATCTCCTTGTTCACTGGGTTGACTTTATATAAGCCAGGTATGTTGTTAAATGCTCCACATGTGGCACTGAAATACTCAAAAGGAACAGGAGGAAGGAATTATTATTGACCCCATTTTATGCATGAGAACATGGGATAGAGCCATTAAGGATTTTGTTCACATTCTGTGTGCACGAACTACTTCTGAACATTACCGTTCTTCACGTGACCATGAGTCAGCTTTGGTTTATAGCATTTCCCAGGCATAATCAAACTCTGAACATTTTTTGACGTAGTAGATGGTGAGCTTCATTTCTTCAGATGTGTTGATAAATGCCACTGCAGTAATAAAAAATAATAGAGCAGCATCATGTGCCAATCTGGTACTAAATGCTCTGAATAGAATGTTAAATTAGTCTTCTTAGAATGAAAAGACTAAGCCTCAGATCAGGGGAGAAAGCCACACAAGGTGGGGAAGCCAGTGAGGACTTGCTTTTCCCTCATCTGGTCACGTGGCACTGCTGGAGTTTTTTTCTTTTTTTTAAATAGAGGCATGTTTTATTTATTTATTTATTTATTTGTTTGTTCATTTGTTTTTGTTTATACATGCACTGGGTACAGTCAGAAGCGCGGGAGGGTGAGAGAATTCACCAGAGCCAGAGCGAGGAGCAGAGCAGGTAGAAGGACCGAAGTACACTGCTGAGGGGAGCAGCGGGCAGCAGGAGAGGTCTGCGCGCCATGTGGGACCCTCCTCTGGTGGCTGGGAGCAGCTGGGAATCGAACCGGCACTGCAGAGGCTGCGGGCAGCTTCGCAACCCAGCGCTCAACCGCTGCGCCACCAGGGAGGCCCTGGAGATTTTTTCTTTCAGTGCTGTCGCCTTCCTGTTTTTAGCAAACAGAATCTCAATTTCAGGGGATGCAGGGAGACACTAGAGACCTGGATGAGAGGATCCTAGCACAGGGAATTTGGGTAGCAGGAAGCAGGATGGTAGGTCTGTGTGGGACAGAGGAGAGAGCTTGGTAATGGCAGGCAAAGATCCCGGGCTGGACTGAGTGGAGAGTGCAATTTACCTCAGGCCCAAGGATGGCATGAGGTGTGAGCAGACCCCCAGTCAGACGTTTGTGGGGGGTCTTAGAGTCAGCCTAGGGCAGGGAGAGGAAGGCCTTGGCCATCTCCCTGGGCTCTGGCAGGCTCTGAGAGTTGAAGTGACAGTCTCTCAGTGGGTATGGGAACCACAGAACCATAAAATCCTCACCTGAGCCAGCTTGGCGCCTGCGGACCACACCGCAGGAGGCATCTAGAGAGCACTGCTCTGAACTGGTCTCAGAGAATCAGGCTCCTGAACTCACCCCTGCCCCCTGGATGTATTATTATCCAAGAGAGGCCATGATGAATGGAGGCCCCGTGGATACAGACACAGGCTCCAGCACCTGGAGGCTTCATTTCTGCTTTAGGATTTCTTGGACCTGACTACAAATGCCAGATGAGGCTTGTGGAAGGAAAAGCCACAGAATGACTTTCTATTTGTAGCTCATGTCTGGATTTGGTAGAGTAAAAAGCTCTGTTCACTGAAATTTCCACTATTTGGTCATTACTAGAGAGTTCTGAGTTTGAGACACAACAATTATAAATCCTCCAAAATGCCAAAGATAACTTGCTCTAGTGATAGCCAGGGAAACAGTGTGCTAATGGAGGAAAATGAGCTCTGCTGACTGTGTGATATCTCCCCAGCCAGGACTTGAGGAAATTTGGGTTAATTTTAGCACATTTCCCAGTAGGAAATGTGTCAGGGGCACCTCTCCAGTCCAGGCTGGAATGTGGCAGCAGAGATGAGGGGAGCCCTCATCATACTTTTTCTGGCTGAACAGAATGTGCCTCCTCTGCAGCTGTACAATCCTCCAGGGGTGGCCCCAACTGTTCCAGGACCGGGGGCTTGTCCAGTACTATTAATATTCTGGAAAGTTCTCTGGCTCATACAACCGGACAGGTCAAAACCCTTTTTCTCTCTTACAGAACTGTAGAAAAGCAGGAGCTAATGGTGCCATGGCCATGCTTCTCAAATTTGCCATGAGAAGCCCTGGAGTGATGGTGATGGATCAGAGACCATGTGATAAGACATTGAGACATCAGGGGACTGCATGCACTTCCTCAACTCTGTAGCGAGCCCAGGAGATAGGTTTCTCTAGCTGTTTGCGGCTCCCAGCTTGGCAGGGTCCATCTAATCTGTACTCTACAGGAGGACGTAGCTTCCTTATCAGTGACAGCTCTTGTGGTGTTAGAGCCTGGGAGTGAGGTCAGCTGCTGTATCGCGAGACTAGCAGTCACTAACACCCCGAAAAGAAAACTTTCCCTACTGCTTAGGTAGATGAGGAGAATAGGGGAACCCCAGTCAGCCTTAGTGAGTTCATATGGCACAATGAACCTCCATTGGGGCCAACTTGGGTCCCCTTGACTAGGTAGGGGACCCCACTTGAGCTAGGGCAGTTTCATTACTTGATTTATTTTTATACAAGAGCTGGGGTACAGACCAGAGGGGCGGGGGGTAGGGGTGAGAGGATTCACCAGAAACAAAGTGGAGAACAGAACAGGCAGACTGACGAAATACACTGCTGAGGGGAGCAGAGGGCAAAACAGGAGAGGTCTGCTGCGCCATGTGGGATTCTCGCCAGCCGGCGGGGATCGAACCGGTACTGCAGAGGCTGCGGACAGCTTCACAGCGCGGCACTTAACCCGTTGCACTACCGGGGAGGCCCACAGGGTCCACGTTTTGGGGGGAATGCACTTGAGCTAGGGTGGGTTTATAACACAAACTCCTCTGTGCCAGCTCATCCCCTTGCCTTGGGGTACCCCCATGCTGGCTTATTTGGTTCATAATGTGTACCACTTAGGCCGGGGTGGGTTCCCATCTCCAGGTTCTGACAAAGCTTTTACAGCAAATTTCTCAGAAGAAATATGAGCAGGAGTGGACAAAGTTGAAGTGAGATTTAAATTCATTCCTATATATGGAAAAGAAAGACATTGAGAGTAACGTTTTTTCAAAGGTGATATAGGATGATTTTTATTCAAAAGCATTTATAGCTACACATGTTATTCACAGCTGGAGATAGTGTCTGTTACATGTATTATAATTCACAATTTATTCAAAGTTGAAAAATAGTATCAGTGTTCTTTCAGCTTCCTTATTAGATTCACTTCTGAACATTACGCAAACTTCTTCAGTGAGGCAGCTGCTTATCATCATCATTAGGACACAAAATGTTATAACCCAAGGCGGATTAGAGAGCAGCTTAAGTTCATTACTGTTTGAACTGCTTTATTTGTAGTAAATATCCATCTTTCAGAAAAAAAATTACTTATATTCAAATTTTTGGTAAGTATCACTTTTTGGAAGCTGATACACTGAGTGCAAGTGGGTCTGAGTCTTCATGTAGAAAAATAGTAGGAACTGTCAAATTCATTAACTATTCAATAGCCAAAAATGTACAGGCTGTGAGCAGAAACTCTGAGAAATGCCAAAGGTATGACATTGTTCTAAAAACCATATTTCTATTTTTTTTTTTTTTTGTGGGACCCTCGCCGGCGGCTGGGGAACGAATCGGCGCTGCAGAGGCTGCGGGCAGCCACGCAGCTCAGCCGCTGCGCCACCAGGGGAGCCCCGTATTTCTGTTTTTAAAGGTCTGGGTAACTATTGTATTTGCTATCCTATATCCCTCTGTAGGTTAAGGAAAAAGAGTCAGGCTTTTCTGCCCTCCCACCATCAGGATAGATGACGGAACCCTATGGTCCTGAATGCATGCCTGATGGCGGGCACCTGGAGTAGGGTGTGGACATAGGTAGATGGGATTCACCTGGGCTAAGACTGGGCTTTTAAGGGCAGCATCACGGGGACACCAACAGAAGCCGAGAGAGAAGCAGAGAACACGGGAGTGCCCAGATAGAGTAAAGGCTTGCTGGGGGCTGGGAGGCCTGCCAGCCTCCTGGCACCCCAGCACCCCTGCCTGCTGTGTACCTGATAAATCCTAATAAAAACCTGAAAAGCCTCTGAGGGCTCCAGGACTCTCTCCTCCTTTACCCGGTCTGTTGGATCAGAAAACCTGCTCTGTGTCCTTC